GGAACAACACTAGTACCTATATGCAAAGTCACTGGTTTCCCACCTACAGAGGAATAGTCCAGCATGGGTGGCTACATTGATCATAGGCAAGAAGGAAGAGGAAAGAGGTTGGGGAAGGGAAATAAGAGAGATGAGAGTGCGGGCAAAGGAGGACAGAAAAGGCAGAGGTGTTGATTGTAATAAAGCCATAAGGGGAGAGATGGAAGGCCAGGATAAGGAAAAAAGGAGGGGGCTGGAGAGTTGCACCTCCCCCTGTGACTCACGCCCAAGATAAGAGGATAAGATTCATATAGTTAAGACAAGAGTGCAAAGGATTGACCTTACCCACTTAGAGGTTCAGGATCCAAATGTGGTGATCTGGCAGCCAGTGGGGTCCAATGAACAGTTGGTTTATGGCTGGTGACCCTCTCCCATAGTGGCTTACGATGGTGTGGCTGTGGATTTGGACCCTGAGAGTCAGATTGTGGGGATTAGTTGCAGAGTCTCCAGTTTATCCTTAGCTTTCAGTGGCATAGCTACAGCACAGGATTGTCCTTGGAAGGTGAGTATCAGTTTTAAAAGGTATCCTCCGTTATATTTAATGTGATTGGAAAGCAAGACAGGAGTGTGTGGCTTCATCTGGTGCATGGGTATAGTTGCTAAATCCTTAAACAACTGAAATTGGTAGCCTTGAAAGGTCTGGTCTGGCCTGTCACACCTGCTTAAAGAAGAGTTTCTTTAGTGCAACAATAGGTGACTTCAACAATCACATGACATTGTGGGCCTACAGGTTTCATGGGGCCAGGGCATTGTGAATCTGATCAACTCTGAGCCCTTCCATCAGAATGGAAGAACACGTTTCTGGAACAAAGTGGTGGCTGTAGAAGTCTGGTTCGTGATTGACCCTGGCAGACCTCAACCAAGGATTATCTATTTTGGAGTGGTTTTCAATGTCTCCAAGTTGCAGGAGAGTGGAAGTGATGTCTTTTTTTTTTAACTGCTGACAGGCAGGCTTGTTATAAAAAAAAGTGACTGTGTAAGTCTACTGCCACAGAAGGTTCTTCCTGCCTGTCACAAATGCTTTCTATTTCTTTACACTGATCCGGGCATGCGCAACTCGGTGTACAGTTTCGGCAAGATTATCACGATGATTATCGAGATGAAGAAACTTTCATACACATGTGTGGGAGTTAGGTAATTGGGGCCTTGGCTCACTTCAAAAAGTGAGCTATGCTGTGAGTTGAGCTTATGTTCCAGGTGCTAGAACTGAACACCGCACCGTGTTAACAATAAGACAAGGTTTGTAGGGATTTTCCTGTTGGTTGATATACCTGGGTAGCAAAGAGCTAGATTAATGTGTGCATTTCTTGTAGCTGATTATGAGTGCACCCCCTCAAATGCGAATCTTTAATCATGTGATTGGCATGAAATGATTGTGTAACTTCACTTTTACTGAGAAAAAAACAAGTATTTTAGCAACGCTCAATACAGGTTCCTGCCTACTTCTGTTTGGCTGTAATCTACTGCTAAATGACAGGTTGGTGATGTGTCACAGGGACAGGAAGTGATGAGATAGCTTTCCAATGAGAATAGAGATGCCAAAGCTTATTTAGTCAAATGGGGTAGTGTAAGGCCTCATTCTCACTGGATGATTAGGGATTCTTGCGGCAGGAATCCCAGATGTCTCGTGTAGATGTGGCTGCTGTACCCATTGAAGTTAATGACAGGGTGATAGCGGATGCATCTGTCAGCTGTAGTCTGCATGTAATCGTATGTGATACGATTACAAGTGGCTTGGAACAGATGACCATCATTGATAGATGTGTCCAGCGTCAATGATTTATTTCAAACTGCTTGTGACTGTATCACAAATGATTACATTGCGGACTGCCACTGACAGATGCGGCACTGACAGATGTGGCTGCTGTCACCCTGTCAGGTAGAGCGGCCACATCTAAATGGCACACCTGGAATTTCTACCACAGAAATATGTAGGTTCCTGCAACAGGAATCCCATATTGCCCAGTGTGAATGAGGCCTTCGAATTGTAGGTCAGCTTTTTGTTGTTGAATTACTGTACAGGTGTAGTACTCCCCATATCAGTTTCTTGTCTAATAAAGGGAACAGAATATCTCCACCTCCTTTATGAAAGACCCCTCAGCAAGCAGAGCACGAATAGCATATACCTTATAATGTCCTGCTTGTGTATAGGTGCGAATGGGGGGTATGCACATGTCAATAACTAATCTACAACGTTCTTTTACTTAACGATTAACCAAAGTTAATCATTAAAATGTGTAGAAACAGGCATGAAGTAAAACCTGAGTTTTAGTTTGGGAAGCTATGACACCACAATATCTTACAGCAAAATTAAAGGCACTTTTTTTTTATTTTTGGAAAAGAGTGATGAGGAGACAGAACCAATGTCAGGTTTTTATTGCTGCCTTCCATTAGGGAGATTTGCTCTCTCTAATTGTCCTGATCACCAATGTCACCTGGAATGAAAGTGAGGGCAAATCCAACATTTTGAGTTGCCACCAAAACAGGAATAAAAAGGGAAATCATCCAATGGAGACATGTGTTACTTTGACAATGGTCTAAGAGGGGATTTCCCTCACATTGGAAAGATATTATCTCCCTTCCTCTTGAGTTTACAGGACAGGAAGTGAATGGAAATAGCTCTAGTTTATTCAATGTCAGCAAAAAAATAAATATCCCTCCCCTATTTTATCTAAATAGAAACAAAGATATTATTTAAAGAAGTTCCTAGTAATAGCGAATTCTACCAACTGATTGGTATTTAAAAAAAGCCTAGTACCAAGCTTCATCTTAACTGCCTACCGCAAAGTACTCCTACTAGGAGTCTTCCAGTAGTCCATGTTCATTCCTCTGGTAGGGCAACCAACCCTCAGTCTCACACAGTTGAATAAAGATCTGTAGTAGCCTATTAGTTATTTTCACCATATTCACAATATCCAATATTTTTAAACCACAAGTAAAGAAAATGATACCATATAGATTTGTTAGTGTACTTTGGTTGCTTTATTCAAATTCCTGTTTTTAACACTACATTAGGTGCAATCCCCTTCCATTTTATTCCCTACAATTGAATGAAGAACAGTAAGCTAATTACATTTAAGGAACAGTGGAGGAAGGAAAAACATACATAAAAAGGCAACAACTCTTTTTTGAAAGACATTTTCTCTGTGCCTCCTGCTCTTTTTTTGTGTTTATATCAAATACATCAATTTGTTTCATAAAACTGAGGACTGAATCGATTTAGACCCTGTCTCTTGAGTTGTCTTAATGCCTCCACAGTCGAGTTATGGACCGTAAATAAGCTCAATACAGACTTGTCCATGCCATGCACCAGTGGCGGAACTACCAGGGTCGCATATGCGGCCGGCGCTGGCATTTCGCCGCTTGGGGGGGCCCCAGAAAGAAAGAAGGGGCCCTGGCACTTGTGTTCCGGCAGTGGCATAACAGCAGCGGGGTCCGATGGTGCGGCTGCTCCGAGCACAGAGACAGATGGACGGGCGGGAGGAGGTTGCGCTGGCCACCGGGCAGTGAACACAGGCACATAATGGGGCAGTACTGGGGCTGTGAGAACAAGAGGACTGTGACAGCTGAGGTAAGTACAATCCATTATAGAATATTAAATAGAACATGGCTGGATTTAAAAGTTTCAAGTTCAACCATATTCTATTTCATGTTCTATAATTGTAGTTCCCCGTATGATGGAAGTTTTAATTACTGTCCTCATGAAAGTACTAGTAATACAATGCCATTATAGAAACAGAATATCATGTAGTTGAACTTGAAAATTACTGTACTATAAAGCCATTGTATTACAAGTATATCCATGAGGACAGTAATTAAAAGATCCTTCTATCATGCAGGGAACTACAAGTCCCAGCATGCACTCACTGTTCCTGTAAACCTCTCACCTATCACCCAGGGAACTACTGCAGGGGGCTTGCATGCTGGAACTTTTAGTTTCTTGGGTGATTTATGTGTGTGTGTGTGGGGAGGAGGTACAAGCACAATGAGGACATGCTGGGACTTGAAGTTACATAGTTACATAGTTACATACATAGTATTTGAGGTTGAATAACAACATATTTATGAGCTGGTGTGTGCATGTATATGTGTCCATGTTTGATTTTTCTCTTAGCAATACCTGTACCCATGTATATTATGGTCTCCTAGGAACTCGTCCAGAAGTCTCCACACTCTTAGCTGAAATCACTTCCTGTGGCAGCGTGTTCCAGACCTCAACCGCTCTAACTGTGAAGAACCCCCTGCGCCCTGTGTGGTGAAATTTTTTTTCTACCAATTTTTGGTTGTGCCCTCTGGTCTTTGTTACAGAGCTGACCGTAAACAGTTTGTTACTGAGGTTGCTGTCACCCTTGAATAGTTTATACATGAAAATCATGTCCCCCCTTAATCTCCTAACCTCCAACGACCAGTTCCCTGAGTGATGTGGAGGGGTGTACAGGGACAATGAAGGCATGCGGGTTGCAGTTGAACTATAAGTCCCAGCATGCCTTCATTGTTATACCCCTGTGGTTGCATGGCACTGGCATTCTGCCTGGAAAGGAAGAAGAGGGCCAAGCCCAGTAGCGGCCGAGACACCGACATTGCCTCCTGGGACTATAGCTCCCAGCAGGCCAATGCTCCGCAGCGGGGGGCTCTTCATTGTTTCATGCATCGGGGCCCTGAGGTTTCTAGTTACGCCTCTGCCATGCACTATTTAGGATGTGACTTATTTTTTAGGCAGCTGTAGTGGAGACATGGCCGATATCTTGTCCGTTAACAAGCACAAACCAAAGTTGTATATCCATGTTCCTGCAATCAACCAAGCTCAGTCTAACTCTTCATTTTTAATTTATTATTTATATTTTTGCCTTTTTGTTATACCCATTCTCTGTACTTTTAAAGTATATTCTAACCCTGTTTTATGAAAATGGGTCAGATCTACGGGTCCACACACATTAAGTGACGTTTTTTAAACCTCCATTTTTCCTCTCTAAGATGAATATGGATAATAGACTACATATATAACACAATGTGCAATCACTTAATTCTAACAGCATAGCTGAATATCATTGACAAGACTAACTCATCATCAGCCTTTGAACAAAATACATTTATACCAATATCCCATCTACTAGTCTGTGGTGCTTTCATTACATGTTCCTTAACGTATGCTACATATATGTAAGAAATTATAAAAAAAATAACAGCCTAGAAAAAACGCTTAATGCTCTAAAAAAGTTGGTCTAAAATATATTTTCTTTGTGAAGTTTGTGCAAAATGCATTATCGTTCAGCCCTACAACAAAATAATAGGCTGGAAATTAATTCACTTAAAGGAAAAATCAGCTTATTATACATTTTAGGCTTTAAGATATTCATGAAGCAGATTGTCTCCAACAGCCTCCATGGACCTCACAGTGAAAAATAAATGCAAACATTATCTAGGATTCCTAGATATCAGAGACGTGTCAATTATAACCTTTGCTCCAATAAGTCCAGAATATCAAGTGCTACATAATGCAAGAAGAGTGCATGTGGACATCAAATGGTTTGTAGGTTATTATTCTTTCCATCCTCATCTTCTTTGGCTTGTACCACAGTTTTGTTCTCTTGGTTTACATTAAGGTCCTGTTGGCTTCTGTAATAATAGAGCAAAGCAATACAAATGTTCAGAAGTTGTTATATTCTTACTAATGTAATAAGAAACCTCTCTATTTTAACCACTTGCTGACCAGGGTGTTAATACCCCCTTCCTGGCCAGGCCATTTTTCAGTATTCAGCGCTGCGGTACTTTTACTGACATTTATTCCGTCATGCAACGCTGTACTGAAATGAATTTTATACCATTTTTGGGGACAGATAGAGCTTTCTTTTGATGGTATTTAATCACCACTATGTGTTTGGTTTTTGTAAAAAAAAATGTATGCTTTGATATGTGACTTTTCATTTTTAACATTTTTTTGTAACTTAAATTTTTTTTAAACCTTTTTTTTCCACTTAACTTTATTGCTATCACATAGGGAGCAAACAAGCTCCCTATGTGATAGCCAATTTGCAGTGACAGGTCATCTTTATGGAGACATCAGGGGTCTTTAAGACCCCTAATGTCACCTAGGGACCCCCAGAGAAGCTGATGAAGCAGAGACCTGCTTCACCAGCTTCTCTCCGGTTTCTGTACCGGAGAGTGACATAGGAATGCGGAAGTGATGTAATATACATCACTTCCTGCATTCCGACGGGGAGGAGATCCAACGGAGTTCGTGTACTGAACTCCGTATGATCTCCGGCCACAGAGCTGCTCTGCTGGTCCCGGGCTCACACTGCGAACAGCGGAGCTCGGGATCGCCAGCAGCGGCTGCGATAGAGGGGGGGGCGCACACCTGCACGCATATTACAAGCGATCGGGCGTCTCTACAGACGCCTGAACGTTTGTATGTAAACAGCGCTGGCTGTTTACATTCAAAGTCGATTTCCCGTTCGTGCGTGCCGCCTAGCGGCGGGCACGAGCGGGGCGGGATGGGACGTTTAAAAACGGCCACCAGCATTCAAGAAGCAGGTGGTTAATTTGTAACAATGAAAAGCCTTCAGCTCCAAACTAAAAACAGTTTCCAAGCTCAGCTTTGTCTTCTTTAATCCAGTGCCAGCATTCTAATTATTGGCAATTTAAAGCCAATTTTCACCTTTTTTGGAGGTATTTAAAAAATGTAAACCATATGCAAGCAATGTACACCGAGTGTACATGAATCAGGCATATAAAGTTGCTGTATATGAACACAGAAACTTTGTGTCTTCTTCATCTATTCACCCCCCCCCCCCCATCTCC